AAACACCAAAAAGGGAAAAACTGGGAAAGCAACATCTGAAGCTTACCTCGATTACCCCTGAGGCCGCGGATATTCCACTCTAAATAGGCCATGATTGGCAATGATAAAGATACCAGAAATCCACAGGTAAGGGTACCTATGGACTAGAGGGGTTAGAAAAGTCCTTATGTGGCAGCGGCAGAAAACATTCAAGTAGCGAAGGAAGGGAGCGCTGTGAAGAAAGGAGTTGCGCAGATGGAGGTGAGGAAAGAGAAGGAACAGGGGGTGGATTAGTGTTCATTGATGGTTTAGTCTCTCCAATATATTCTGAGATAGCTTCAAGTGTTTCGGAATTCAAAGACATTGTATGGGAGACAATACTGGAGATGGAAGGAGGAGGGCGAGCGAAGATTGGGACAGTAATAGACTGCCCAAAGCAGGGGGGATACAAAAGGGTGGAGGGAACTCGAGAAGAAGTGTGGGAGGGGACAGAAGAGGTAGAAACCTGGGAGGTGGCAGAAGAGGAAGAAACTTGGGAGGGGACAGGGGAGGAAGGCCCAGTACGAGGAGGAGGGTGAACCTCCACACTTGTAATAGAGCCAGTGGGAGGGGGGAAGAACCAGGTAGAGGCTGGAAAGGTAAAATGTGGAGGTGGAAGAAGGGAAGGAGGGGTTAAAGGAGATTTGAGTAATGGGGATGTTTTGGACTTCTGAGAATTAGAAGGGCGATTGGGAGGAGGTGTCGTACGAGGTCTTATCGATACCAGGGCTTGTGAGGAAGAACACAAAGAAGTGAGAACAGACTGAGGTGTTGAAGTAGGGACTTCTGAGCCCAGGACAGCAAAAGAATTAGACAGGAGTGACTATGGGAGGGGTAACCATAGAGGAGGCTGCAGAAGATGGGACCCCAGAAGTGGGGGGACGTTTAGAAACACGAGAATAAGAAATACGGGGCAGTCTCCCTCGGAAGCATAAACGAGAATCTGCCATAGCATAAGGGGGACCTTCCGCCTCTTTGAGGCAACGAATTTCTCGCTCATTTAAGCAGACCTGGCAACGGCGAGAGTAAGAAGAGTGAGCCTCATGACAATTAAGGCAAGAGGGAGGTCAATTACAAGACGTATTAGAATGGTCATCAGCACCACAGACTGGGCATTCGGCTATAGATCTGCAGTATTTCGCTGGGTGACCAAACCGCCAGCAATTTCTACACTGTTGCGGTGTAGGGATCACCTTTCGAACTTGTAAACGATGTCCTGCTACATAAACAGAGGATGGGAGTTCACGGCTGTCGAAAGTTAATCAAGCCACATTGCAAGGGTATCGTCTCCGCCCACAGGCAGGAAGAACATAAGTGTCTACTTTGAGGATTGAGAGATCTTGGAGTTCTAGCTGTTCAAGAATGTCATTGCCACATGTCTGGAAATTCTGTTGGACTATGGTATGTGGCTGAATGACAGTACCACTACAAGAATTGAGGGAATGATGTTTTTCGATAGTGACAGGAATAGTATCGATATGTGAAAGAAGAGAAAGATCATGAGCTTGGGTAGCATTCTGGACAGTGATGATGCCTGTACCGCTCTTGAGAGCGTGAAAGGAAATATCTCTACCAACATGGCATAGGAGCGCCTTGCCAATACTATGGTCGCAAAGATAGGCAACAGAGGAAGTCGGTCATAAAGTAAAGAATTTGGTCCATTGTGCATTCCGAAACTGAGCGTGGAAAGGGAGTGCATGACGTGCATGACGGGAAGGTGGCAAAGAAGTATCATCAGGTAAATGTCTTTGGCGTTTAGGAGTGGGACCGGAGTTGGTCCGACATGGGACGGGCTGGCGATTCGAAAATTGCCGCACTGTAGCGGGAGAGGCTGGAAGCATAGTCAAAGGAAAGCGGAGGTCAGACAAATCGAAGGAGTCAGTCGAAACCCCAGTACCTGAAGCGGGTGATGAAACAGCACCAGTAAGAGGTACAGGGGCATTAGAAGTGTCCGAAGAGTGGTCAAAAAACGAGACAGGGTCAGAACAGGGTGCAGTAACAAGAAGGGGCCCGGGGGTAGCAGGGTCATGAATTGGGTCCTCCATGGTTAGGTTACTTCTTTCTTTTTGTTTTTAAGAAAAAAAAGAAAAGGAAAGTAAAAATAAAAAAGAATAAAAAAAAGGGGGGAGGAATAGTTCCTAGGAGGAATGAAAGGGCCGGAAACCTCCCTCCGCACCCAAGAGGACCTCAGCACCGCAAGCAGCGCAAATGCAGCATCGAACCCATGCCATACCCTACCCTTCATGCCAGTAAACCAGCAATCCGGGATATCAACCTCATATCTGCTGAGCTACCCCGGTGGACAAAAGAGAGGGCGGCCAGATATCTGCCACAAAGCATACCTTCTTTGGCCACCACCCCGGAATTCGAAAGGCGGCCTCCAGAGATACACCCGTCACCCGAAAGACACCTAAAGCTACCCCCCAGGAGACCAGAGAAGGATCGGAACATCCCCAGGCGATCCAGATTCCACGGCAAACTACACCACCGCCAAGAACCTCAACAGAATGGGATGGACCCCGGTGCCCTTCCCCCTACCTAGGAACTAGCATGCCTGTGGGAAGAATCCCAAAGGCTAAAAAGAGGAAGGGAATAAGGGAGAGACGGGGAGAAGGAGGAGGAAAGGAAAAAGGGAGGATGGGATAAGGAAGGGAAGATGGGGGGGTAATTAGGTTTGGTCTGAGGAAGGAGACCAACAGGTCTAATTCCTCAGACCAAGAGCCTCTTCACTACACCAAGGAGCCCCCTTGAAGAGGCTTGGGGTAAAAAAAAAAAAAAAATTATGCAGATAAATAGAAGGTGGTAATAAAACAGATATCTTTGAAATGTGCATTTACTTTGCCAAAATATTCTACTACAAGAGTCCAAGGCAAGGGAGGAGCAAGTGCTATCCTAATTTATATATTAGACTGGTTTTAACACGAACTGATTTACAAAAGTACAGAAGTTAAATCACTCGTCTATGAGAGTCTGCAAGGGAACACATGTGGCTGAAGATGCAGGAGAGTGAAAAATGGAAGCAAATATGAGTAAAACAAAACTGGATACAGAGAAAATGGTTGTTATAACTGCATAATTAGGTCTACCTGCATGGATATGATAAACTGTAAATTCACATAAAATAAACAATGGTAGTTAAATAACAACTAAAGAAAATAACCTAAACAATATTCTTGGAATTATATAAACTTCCAATTTCTCTTTGTATGAATCATTTTATTATTACTGAGAACAGTAGTAGAATGTAAGAACACTGGGAAAATGGCCACAATCATGACCTGGCCAACCCAGGTCCAGGACAACAGAAGCTGAGCAAATTAAGAAATCAATACACAAAGGAGCACAAGTCTGGGTTTACATAGGTAATTATTATTATTATCTCTTTTCTTTTTTTTTTGCCCATAAGGATTGGCTAGCACTGGTGATAAATTTTCCCTTCTCTACCTTGGATGCCTGTCCTCAAAGACAAAGTTAAGACAGCCTGAAAGCATCAGATGTCATTGACTCCACTTCAATGGGAAAATCCCATAAGGAACAACAACTACTCAAACACAGACATCAAGGCTACTTTTTGCAAAGGATTTAGGAAAATTATTCCATTCCTAATTCTTGAAATTTCCTTTTTCTTCTTTTTAGTTGCACGTCTATTTAAGCAAAAATAATTGCAGAAACATATTCCAATTTGTTAGCATTAATTTATTATCCTTACTAAACTAAGAACAGAAAAAATTACATCTCTAAACAGAATAAAATTAAAAGTACTCTAATATTATCCATATTAACAAATTTTGTAACAAACATTTTATTATAATACTTGATGTACATTTCAGTTTTACAAATGCTAACTTGTATTACAAATGTACTTATAAACTAAGCTTATCTCATTTTTTTTTTTTCAACACATTGACCATCTCCCACCGAGGCAGGGTGACCCATGTATAACTATATATTTCCAGGAATTCAAGAAAATAAACTCAGTAGAGCACAAAACCTTTAAGAGGGATCATATAGCACCTGAAAAATGTAAGGCATTCAGGCTCTATCTGTGTATGAGAAGTATAGTTTCTTGGATGAAGAGTCGATCACCAACATCAAGGCACCACCCTTGAAGGGCTAGCAATCTATAGAATAGAATTACTTCTCACCATATAAGAAATAAAAATTTTCCTGGAATCCTGAAGCAGGGTAATCAAGAAGTGGGCCTTGGACAGGACTCAAGAATGAAGAATTAAGTCCCACAGCTTGAATAAATGGAGGATATCCAAGCACTGGTGTATAAACTGACAATGACATGGGGTGATACATGACCATTTGATTACTTGTCAATGATGTACTAGATAGCCTGCCATTTTGTAAAACGTGTTGATTTTCTATTGCAGATGTGATAGTCCTTTCATTTGATGCTTTTATCAGATCCATGTTAAGTGATGTACATTCCTTTCTTTCTACCTCTACAGAGCTGGTCCTGCTCACAGGCCCATCATCTATATTAGTATCTGTAGAGTTTAAACCATTACTCTTTATTATTGCTTCTTCCTTAAGTTTATTTTTACTCAAAAAGTCTAGAGTTCTCTCCTTTATCATATATTCATCAGAAGTGTCTACATTAGAATAATTAACCTCATCATTTTTTGGAAAAAAGTCTGCTTTGAAGTCTTCCTGAAATTTTGAGTTTAAAAGCTCTGCTTTCACAAGAGCCTTATGAATCTTTTCACACTTAGTTATATGTTCAGTTAACTCTTTAATCAATGAATCATTTTCATGATGACGCTCCTTTGGTAACTCTTCCTTTCTTAAAAGTGCAAGAAATTTCCTTTCAAATAAAATTATGCATTCCATGACTTCTATATCTGACGTCGGTGAATCTTCCGAGTCCAAAGAGTAGTTTATCGAGAATATTAAATTGTCCTTGTCCTGTGTTGTACTATTCTTGTCCTGTGTTATACTAGTCTTGTCCTGTGTTGTACTATTCTTGTCCTGTGTTATACTAGTCTTGTCCTGTGTTGTACTATTCTTGTTCTGTGTTGTACTATTCTTGTACTGTGTTGTACTATTTTTGTACTTTGTTGTACTATTCTTATCCTGTGTTGTACTATTTTTGTCATGTGTTGTACTATTCTTGTCCTGTGTTGTACTATTCTTGTACTGTGTTGTACTATTTTTGTACTGCATTGTACTATTCTTGTTCTGTGTACTATTCTTATCCTGTGTTGTACTATTTTTGTCCTGCGTTGTACTATTTTTGTCCTGTGTTGTACTATTCTTGTCCTGTGTTGTACTGTTCTTGTTCTGTGTTGTACTGTTCTTGTTCTGTGTTGTACTGTTCTTGTTCTGTGTTGTACTGTTCTTGTTCTGTGTTGTACTGTTCTTGTTCTGTGTTGTATGTTCTTGTTCTGTGTTGTACTATTCTTGTCTTGTGTTGTATTAGTCTTATTCTGTGTTGTACTATTCTTGTTCTGCATTGTACTATTCTTGTTTTGCATTGTACTATTCTTGTTCTGCATTGTACTATTCTTGTTCTGCATTGTACTGTTCTTGTTCTGCATTGTACTATTCTTGTTCTGCATTGTACTATTCTTGTTCTGCATTGTACTATTCTTGTTCTGCATTGTACTATTCTTGTTCTGCATTGTACTATTCTTGTTCTGTATTGTACTATTCTTGTTCTGCAGTGTACCTTTATTGTCCTGCATTGTACTATTCTTGTCCTGCATTGTACTATTCTTGTCCTGCATTGTACTATTCTTGTCCTGCATTGTATTGTTCTGGCTCTGTGTTGTGCTATTCTTGTTCTGTGTTGTACTATTCTTGTTCTGTGTTGTATTATTCTTGTTTTGTACTGTACTATTCTTGTTTTGTGTTGTACTATTCTTGTTCTGTTTTATACTGTTCTTGTCCTGCATTGTACTATTCTTGTTTTGTGTTGTGCTTTTTCTGTTCTGTGTTGTCATACTGTCCTGTGGTGTTCTCATAGTGTCCTGTGGTTTATTCCTCAGGTTCTGTGATATGGTCATCTTTTCCTGGGTTATGGTTGTCTTGTACTGCTGTCTCATGCAATCATCTGGTAAATTTTGCAACAGTGAAGGAATTTTACTTTCACTAAAGCTGTGTCCGATAACTGGAGATGAATGCCAAGAGGTATCAACCTCTTTATTTATACTAAGGGGTGCACACATTTCCAGTTTCCTTCCAGTTCTTCCTTGTTTGGTGTTGTCTGAGTGTAATCCAATATCAAAGGGTTTTATAGGAATACTCAAGGATCTCATTATTCTGGCTTTCACTGGCTGAAAGATCTTTCCATTGTTATTACCTTTATTCTGCATACAATTCTTTGATGGCAACCTACCCAAGACTGTGTGTTCATTATGAGCCATTTTTATTTCCTTTGGTCTTACAGATCTGTCCCATTGAGTGTGTGTTGGTGTGAGCACATGTTTAGCAACTTCAACAGCAGTATGTGTGTTTGGTAATTCACTGTCAAAACAAACTTCTGTCTTTGACTGCTGTTCCTTGCCTGGTGTTTTTGACTCTCGTAAAATTTGATTTCCTGTTCTTTCTACACCTTTACAGTCTCCATAGGTAATAACTGCTGCATCATCCTTGGCTATCTCACTACTGTTTGAAACTTCTAAGTGGTAATAATGTGCTTCAGTCTCTTGCTCATCGATAATTTGATTTTGCAGCACATCTGTCTCTTCTTTGAATGGCTCAGAATCACAAGTACCATTTCTCAGTGTTTTGCTGCTGATTAAAGATTCTTGTGAATTGTGTGTTTGCCTTTGTGGCATACTAGGTATCATACCTTGGATAAGATGATGGTCCTCAAAAACTGAACTTGATCTTCGACTACCTGTATCACTGGCATACTCATCAACCAGCTTCTGAGGAAGAAAAACTGATCAACCAACTATAAAAATAAATTGGTAGATTTATTAAGTACAATAGCCACATATTAAGGAAAATGGTGCATGTTTTATAGGTAATGCTGATGCTGTGCAATCATTACATAATCGTGAGTGAATAAAGAAAGTAGCAATTACAGAAAGAAGATACCTAAGAGGATGTGCAGACTGTTTACACCAAAGCATGTAAGTGAATAATATTTAAATAAGGGTAAGGAGCTGTTTGAATTTAGAAGAGGCATGATATAAAATGCATATGGATATAATGTGGCAGATTTTGCCAATGTATGGAACAGGCAGTAGGTTACTAAAAGCAGAAGTTTTTATGAGTATAGTGAAGCTAATGTTAGTGTATGTAGAAGAGGCGGGGACGATTTCCTATGAAAGTTGGACATAGGGGAGTGAGATGTCGCAATGGTTGTTCAACATGCCTTTCCCTTCAACATGCTGGCCATCTCCCATCGAGGCAGGGTGACCCAAGAAGGAAAGAAAAACACTTTCACCATCATTCACACACAATCAATGTCTTTGCAGAGCTCAGATACAACAGTTTGGATGTCACTCCAAAGCAGTCAATATCCCAAACCCCTCCTTCAACCCGCTAACTGTCCAAACGCAGATCTATGTTTTCACTGCCAACACTGAATATTTTGAGAAAAAAAAAAAATCCTATAAATTAAAGAGGGCAATTTTCTGTGTGTAATAAGACCAAAAAAATTTTTTAGCGTCAGTACTTACCGAGATATGTACAGAAGGCTGCGAAGTTGGGGCTGGATGCTCACCTGAAGGCAATACAGGATCCTGCTGCTTGCAGAAGTGTTGCTCCAGGATGTCCACGTTTATAGAAGGGCAACTGATATATCGGATCATTATCTAGTTGTAGCTACAGTCAGAGTAAGAGGTAGATGGGATAAGAGGAAAATGGCAACAACAAGTAAGAGGGAGGTGAAAGTGTATAAACTAAGGGAGGAGGAAGTTCAGGTGAAATATAAGCAACTATTGGCAGAAAGGTGGGCTGGTGCAGGTAGGAGTACTGGGGAGGTGGGTTGAAGAGGGTTGGAATAGTTTTAAAAATGCAGTATTAGAATGTGGGGCAGAAGTTTGTGGTTATAGGAGGGTGGGTGCAGAAGGAAAGAGGAGTGATTGGTGGAATGATGAAGTAAGGGTGTGATAAAAGAGAAAAAGTTAGCTTATGAGAGGTATTTACAAAGCAGAAGTGTTATAAGAGCAGAGTACATGGAGAGTAAAAGAAAGGTGAAGAGAGTGGTGAGAGAGTGCAAAAGGAGAGCGGATGATAGAGTGGGAGAGGTATCAAGAAATTTTAATGAAAATAAGAAAATTTTTAGAGTTAAACAAGTTAAGAATGCCTAGGGAACAAATGGATTTGTCAGTTAAAAACAGAGTAGGGGAGTTAGTAGATGGGGAGTTGGAGGTTATGGGTAGAAGGCGAGGTTGTTTTGAGGAACTTTTAAATGTCAACGAAGAAAGGGAGGCGGTAATTTCATGCACTGGCCAGGGAGGTATACCATCTTTTAGGAGTGAAGAAGAGCAGGATGTGAGTGTGGGGGAGGTGCGTGAGACATTACGTAGAATAAAAGGGGGTAAAGCAGCTGGAACTGATAGGATCGTGACAGAAATGTTAAAAGCAAGGGGGGACATAGTGTTGGAATGGTTGGTACTTTTGTTTAATAAATGTATGAAAGAGAGGAAGGTACCTAGGGCCTGGCAGAGAGTGTGTATAGTTCCTTTATACAAAGGGAAGGGGGACAAAAGAAATTGTAAAAATTATAGAAGAATAAGTTTAACGAGTATACCAGGAAAAGTGTACGGTAGGGTTATTATTGAAAGAATTAGAGGTAAGACAGAATGTAGAACTGCAGATGAGCAAGGAGGTTTTAGAGTGGGTAGGGGATGTGTAGATCAAGTGTTTACATTGAAGCATATATGTGAGCAGTATTTACATAAAGGTAGGGAAGTTTTTATTGCATTTATGGATTTAGAAAAGGCATATGATAGAGTGGATAGGGAAGCAATGTGGAAGATGTTGCAAGTACATATATGGAATAGGTGGTAAGTTACTAAATGCTATAAAGAGTTTTTATGAGGATAGTGAGGCTCAGGTTAGGGTGTGTTGAAGAGAGGGAGACTATTTCCCGGTAAAAGTAGGTCTTAGACAGGGATGTGTAATGTCATCATGGTTGTTTAATATATTTATAGATGGGGTTGTAAAAGAAGTAAATGCTAGGGTGTTTGGGAGAAGGGTGGGATTAAATTATGGGGAATTAAATACAAAATGGGAAGTGACACGGTTACTTCTTGCTGATGATACTGTGCTTATGGGAGATTCTAAAGAAAAATTGCAAAGGTTAGTGGACGAATTTGGGAGTGTGTGTAAAGGTAGCAAGTTGAAAGTGAACATAGAAAAGAGTAAGGTGATGAGAGTATCAAATGATTTAGATAAAGAAAAATTGGATATCAAATTGGGGAGGAGAAGTATGGAAGAAGTGAACGTTTTCAGCTATTTGGGAGTTGATGTGTCAGCAGATGGATTTATGTAGGATGAGGTTAATCATAGAATTGATGAAGGAAAAAAGGTGAGTGGTGCATTGAGGTATATGTGGAGGCAAAAAATGTTATCTATGGAGGCAAAGAAGGGAATGTATGAAAGTATAGTAGTATCAACAGTCTTATATGAGTGTGAAGCTTGGATTGTAAATGCTGTAGCAAGGAGGCAGTGGAGATGTCCTGTCTAAGGGCAATGTGTGGTGTAAATATTATGTGGAACATTCGGAGTGTGGAAATTAGGAGAAGGTGTGGAGTTAATAAAAGTATTAGTCAGAGGGCTGAAGAGGGTTTGTTGAGGGTTTGGTCATTTAGGGGAGAATGGGTCAAAGTAGAATGACATGGAGAGCGTATAAATCTGTAGGGGAAAGAAGGCGGGGTAGGGGTCATCCTCGAAAAGGTTGGAGGAAGGGGGTAAATGAGGTGTTGTGGGCGAGGGGTTTGGACTTCCAGCAAGCGTGCGTGAGCGTGTTAGATAGGAGTGAATGGAGACAAATGGTATTTGGGACCTGACGAGCTGTTGGAGTGTAAGCAGGGTAATATTTAGTTAAGGGATTCAGGGAAACCAGTTATTTTATATAACCAGACTTGAATCCTGGAAATGGGAAGTACAATGCCTGCACTCTTAAAGGAGGGGTTTGAGATATTGGCAGTTTGGAGGGATATATTGTGTATTTTTATACGTACGTATATACTTCTAGATTGTTGTATTCTGGGCACCTCTGCAAAAACAGTGATTATGTGTGAGTGAGGTGAAAGTGTTGAATGATGATGAAAGTATTTTCTTTTTGGGGATTTTCTTTCTTTTTGGGTCACCCTACTTCAGTGGGAGATGGCCTACTTGTTAAAAAAAAAAAAAAAAAAACTTTTATGTTCTGATACTTACAATTTGTAGTAGTTCTTGTAATTTCATAGCCAATGTTTGTTCTGACACTAGTATTAAGTACTAAAATAGTACTCAAATAGCCACAAACACACTGACAGGTGAACATATTCACCTGCCTTGGTCACATACTATTGAAACACAGTGTAAGATGAGTGTCACTCCACTACTGACAGTGCAGCAGTGGAGTGACATTTCATGTCTGTGCACTGCCTGGCTTTATTTGTTTTCACTGTTACACATAAACATGTCTATCTGTCTGTCTGTGTTTGTCTGTCGGTCTAGCTCTGTCTCTGCTTATCTGTCTGCGTCTTCCTGTCTCTCTGTCTGCTTGTCTCTCTTTCTGTCTCAAAGAGAGAGCCATTCATGAACCAACGGGTATTACACATGATGCAGAGCCATCACGTCTGATTCCTGAACAAGTGAAAATGCATATTACTTACCAGTCATGCTTATTATGCCATAGATATACAAACACAGTATAGTACTTTCTCTGGATTTTTTTTTTTTGGTTATCCTAGGTAATTTACAGTATGTATAATAACTGTATTTATGTGTACTTGTGAGACAGAGATAGACAGACAGAGACAGAGATAGACAGAGACAGAGCTAGACAGAGACAGATACAGATGGAGACAGAAACAGCCAAAGTCAATCAGCCACCCACCTCCCTACCCCACCCAGCTGCCGGCCTGCCGAACACGTATTACACATGTTCCAGAATGGTTTCTCTTTACTTAGGGCATAGGTTATAGGACATTCTGGTAGGATGACACTACCAGTGGTATCAAAATTGAAAGGATGTGGCACAAATGTTGAACGTGGGTTATTATCGAGGTTTCTGATACAGTGGATGCTTGGTTATTGTAATTAATCCGTTTCAGAGAGTGTGACTAAAGCCAAATTTGATGATTTCTGAATTCATTTTCCCCATAAGAAATAATGTAAATCCAATTAATCTATTCCAGACACCCAAAAGTATTAAAAATAATAATTTTCTTACATGAAACATACATTTACCTACACAGAAACAATGAGACATGAAGAATAAAACAGTAATAACATGACTTTACATTTATTGAAGACTCTTCTTAGTGTATCGAAGATGGGAGGAGGGGAGAAGATGGAGAAATTACTGTTTGGAAGGGGAATCCCCTTCCAAACAGTAATCCCCTTCCATAAAGACTTCAGGTACGAAGTCCTTTTCCGGGGTTACTTCCCTTCTTTGTTTTTTAATGCCACTAAGACCAGCTTGAGTTACTGGGCCCTTGTCGCTCAAAAAAGTGTTCCAGAGAGGTCTGTTTCTGGCATATGTTAGGAATTGTGGCGGCGGTAGGGGAATGTGTTGGGAGACAGAACAAGATAGTCCTTCAATATGACACTAATATCAACTCTTTGGCTTATTTATTTAGCACAATTCATCTAATATGACATAATGAACAATATTAATAACACAGAAACAAGATACATACTCTAGAATGAATAAAATATGTCATTACATATGTGACAAGTGTTGTTGTGTTGTTTGTTGTTG